AAAGGGCTACTCTGGGTACTATTTCATTTGCCCAAGTAGATTCTGGCAGAAGGGTTGAGAGAATATTGTTTTTAGGAGACTTTCACTGAAGACATAACTATCATACTTATATCCTGAGCTTTTCTAGACAACTTTGGAGACCAGTACTTTTATCTGATGAATTTTATATGAAAAAAATTTTTTTACAGCATAACCACTGTGACCACCACCATATATAGCAGCATTCAGTACATGCAAGAGGGGAAATAAATTCCAATAAAACATTCTGCCATGTCCCCATGAGAAACACGAGTTTAAGGGGAAAAAAAGACTCTCTTTAAAAGAAATCAGCAACATGATGTTCACAAATATTTATCTTTTGTCTATTTACTTATTTTTGTGGATGGGGATTAAATCTACCAGCATCAACCAGGAGCTATATCTCCAGATTCTAAAATATTTATCTTTTAATCTTGGTATATTCTAAAGAGAAGAATATGTTTTGGTAGAAAAGCAACATAATGTAGAAAAAAAAAAGATTATCAAATTTCAAGTACACAGAGTATTTGGGGTCTTAATTTTGCACTTAACTATTTAAGTGTCTGGGATAGGCTTAGGCTACTTCATCTTCTCTGAAATGGGGAAAATAATAAGCTCAAAGTGACACAATAAAAGTGTCACGTTTCATTCATTTAGCTTCTAGGATATATCAGTTAAGAAGAATGACAACAAACAAGATCTTATCAGGCACCTTCATAATTTTAACAATGATTCTCAAGAATTTTCTTCTTCACTTATGTACATATATAAATACACCACAGTGACATCATGTATAATCACAAGACTGGGATCCAAATTAGAATAAAATGTACTCCATGTCTGTGTAAATGTTTCAAAATATACTCTACTGTCGCGTAACCAAAAAGAACAAATAATAATAATAATACTGATAACAGCAATTTTTAATAACAAAAAATAATTTCTTCCTTCACTGCTTATATAAAATAAGCAAGAAAACTACTGCCAATAATAAAGTTGTATACAATATCCATATTCTTTCAGTAACTTTTATAATTTATGTCTACATTTTAAATGAGAGAAAGGGATAATACTCTATAACAACATATTAAGTGGGCCAAAAGTTATACTGAAGTTAAAATTAACAAGTGATAAATTAAAAATGAAGAGACACAATACACAAAAGTGTAAAAGTCTACAATTAATAGTCTTCCATTGCCAAAATCAACAATGTTGAGAAAGTCTGAGAATAATTTGTTAGATACATGTGAGAACTGTTTGACAATTTCATGTCATCACTTACATTACAAAGAATTGGGATCTTGCTGCAATTATATACACTCCTCTCTACACAAACAGAAGGTAGAAATGAAGTAATTAAAAATCAAACATGATTAATTTAATATGACAAAGTATTTTCAGATATAATAAACTCCTTAGTTAAAATTCACTGACTAAATTTGATGTCATAATGTGAAGATCATTTCAAAACATTGAGTATTAGGCTTTTCCTTATTTTTAAAATGCAATTTCAAAATGACAAAAGTAAAATGATAAAAGGAAACCAAACAAAACTAATGCTGCCTTTATAGGTTTAAAAATACTAAAGGGGAATGGCCTTATTTATCAATTTAATATAGAACAAAAAAATCTCAAAGGCCTAAAATACTTGAGTTTGAGATACATTGCTTGAGGAAATATTATCAATCTGGGGGAAAATATTAGACTTAAAAAAATTAAACTCAGTCAGAAGAAAGCAAATATAAAATTAGCCCACAATGAATATTAATTTTTAAATTTTCATTAGCATAGAAATGTCTGATTTACTATTTCCTTTATTAATTATTAAAGAATCTCCTCCATATCTGTCTTATTCTTTGGAACACTATACGTATATGCCACTATAGAATCTAAAAGTAATTATTCTGCTTTTTCTGAGTACTGCTCATGTACCTTGCACATAAATGTTATTTACTGTTATTACTAACTCAAATGATTTACATTGAATGCTATGATTTCTAACAGCTGTAATATTACTATTTGAATTATCAAATGCCTCACTTTCTTCTAAATATCAGAATCAAGTATAAAGTAGCCGACTGGAAAAAGAGAAAAAAAGCATACTCTAACATACAACAGAAGCCTCTTATTCAGTGTGATCAACACTGATAATGGCATAACTTATATCCGCCCCCTAAAATTCACATGTTGAAGCCCTAATCCTCAATGTGACTACATTTAGAGTTGGGGGTCTTTAAGGAGGTAATTATGGCTAATAGAGTACAGAAGGATATGGCTTTATCCAATAGAATTGGTGTCTTTGTAAGAAGAAAGGCAAGAGGGAGGACTGCCCAGAAGATAGGCCATGTGAGGGCACGCAAAAGGGAGGACATCTGCAATCCAGGAAGAGATGTCTCATCAGAAAACAAACTGCCAACACACTGATCTTTGAACTTCCAGCTTCCAGAACTATGAAAAAATAAATCTGTAATTTAGGCACACACATTTGCTTTGTAAATATATAAACATCTTAATTTAACTTTAAAAAGTGTATATTGATTTTTTAATCTTTTTGATATAAAGTAGGCCTATAAAGATTTCCAATTTGACTTCTATAAGATGATACTGGAACCTAAAGATTCTTTCAAAGCAATCTGGGTCCAGTAATCAGTATTTTCCAACACTTTCCCAATTTGTGTTTTTTTTTTTTTTTTTTTTTTTTAGCAACTAACTTTATCCTGTCTTCTAAAGCACTCAATTTAGTTTTTATAAAAATGACAATTTTATTCTTATATTCCTATTTCACTAGTCTAAGTATTTCACTAGATTATGTAATTACTATAACAAATCTATTTGGAATTAACAGCTCTGGGAACACAACTGGCTCTTTGTAAACAGACCATTCAGCTAGTAGGAACAAAAGCATATGGATACTGTAGAGATGAAGCAACTCACCAGCTCAAAGCATTCAACACATTACAGGGCATCAGGCAATGGGTTTTAGAGCAGCAGTGGTCGATCAACTGACTTTAAAATGTGTAGTAAGAAAAGAGGCTCTAATGTCCAGCCAAATAAATGCTGGTATTTAAAACTGTCATTTTGAAAGACTGTCACTGTGCCAAACAATATGGAAACTACTTCTAGAATTTCTGATATACAATGTTCTAAAGGTTTAATGGTAAATCATTATCCTTGGAACATGATTTAATTTTCAAAAAAACTTAATAATTAAGTAAACTGTCTGATATAAAATTTCAGCAGCAAAGTCCAAATTTTTAAAAAGGCAAAGCAATAGTATAAAGCAAAATAACTATTTAATATGAATGTATTTCTTTAAAGGTAAACAAAAAAGATAAATTTTAAGAACATGCTAAATAATTATGACATTAATAAAATGAGTACAAAGACACCATCTCAAGTATGTCATTTGAATATAAACTTCTAGTATTTTTACTTTAAAAACTACTATCATACACACTCATTTTGATCACATTACATATATCTATATGTCTACGCATGTAGACATGTATATGAATGTATGTACTCGGGCTGGGGATGTGGCTCAAGTGGTAGCGCGCTCGCCTGGCATGCATGCGGCCCGGGTTCGATCCTCAGCACCACATACAAAGATGTGTGTCCGCCGATAACTAAAAAAAATAAATATTAAAATTCTCTCTCTCTTTCTCTTTCTCACTAAAAAAAAAAGAATGTATGTACTCATAGACACACATATCAACCACTTCCATATATGTATATCTTATTTTTCTGAAAAGCTTTGATATTGAAGCCTAATTACTGAGGATAATTATGTCATACTGGAAATTGTGAACATTATTCAGTCATAAAAACAAAATATTTTGCATACAAAAAAATCACTGAAATATTTTGCATACAAAAGTGACATAATAAATGCAGCGTTTTCAGAAAATTTATTTAAGAATGAGGTGTGAAGGACAGAGATCATTTGGGAGGAGTTGGTCAGCATAAACCAAGTGTATAGAACTAAGTGTAAGGACAGTAAGTGGAAATAAGGACAGAAATAAGAATGACTTAAAATAACATACATTAACAGCACTTTACAAATAATAGTTTTCACTACTATAAAAGATCCTTAAGATGTAAATTAAATGAAAATAAAGATAGAGATGGGTATGACAAATATTCAGACACCACCATCCTGCACTTCTGCTGACTCTGCCAACACAAAAGGTGGGTTCATTCATCTAGACTGTTGTCAATCCAGAGAAGTGAAGCCCAAAAAGCATTTATAGATCTAAACTAAGCTCCATTATGAGGCATTACTCATATCAATTCTGATCTGGATAGGAAATAACATGTTTTGTTCTTTCTCAAGCTTACATGAGTTGTGTATATGAGAGACAGAAAGAGAGAAGAGGAGGAGGAGGAGGAGGATGAAGAGAAGGAAAGAAGGGAGGAGGAAAGAAGGGAGGAGGAGAGGGAATGAATATAAACACCGAGCCTTAACAAATTAGGCCTTACTTTCTTCCTCACATAAACAAATATCTTCTCTTTATTATAGTCTGCAATTAAATAGGTTCTACTTTTGCAACAAGGATGTCAAATAAAGCTTGAGAATTTAGGGTCAACTTCTATTACTCTTCTATTCAATTTCTATATTCTACTCCTACTCTCTAACCCAAACCAAATGACACAAATCTCTCTCTCTTTTTTTTTTTTAAAGAGAGAGAGAGGGGGGAGAGAGAGAGAGAGAATTTTTTAATATTTATTTTTCAGTTTTTCAGTTTTTATGTGGTGCTGAGGATCGAACCTAGCACCCTGCACATGTTACCACTTGAGCCATATCCCCAGCCCTGACACAAATCTCTTTAACTCTTCCTGAACTTAATCTCTTTAATCTCTTCCTGAACTCATCAGGGAAACTCAAGGACTAACATTTACAAATTCTACTATGGAAAAGCAACTTTAAAAATTCTAGTTTTGATTCCTCCAAAATTTATTTTAAAAATACTCCAGCAATTTACCTCGAATTTCTTCACCTTTTCCATTGTGATCAAGCGCCTTGATGTGTGACTAGAAAGCTTCTGCTCACAGTTGCTGATGAGTTTCAGGCAAGGGTGCCAGGGTACCATCTCTTCAGTGTACCTGAAGAAAGAATAGCTAACTAGTATGAACTCACATGTGCAATCCACACAGGATCATCATGGGGGTATAACCACTGTGGTGAGGGAGGTCTTTCCTCTACATGAGGTACCATTTTATTCCACATATGCTAACTGTCCACAGAATCCATAAATAGCCTACCTGTATTTCAACAGCAAAGTATTTAAATATTACCACATCAAAAAAATGCAGTTTATTTTTTTACCCCTTGAAAAGAAAATGAGAAAGGATATAAGTACGTTTTTTAAAGAGCACCAAACATTTAAATCACAAATATGATTTCATACTAAATGATCCCACAACAGCAGGTCTTACAGAGAGATGTACATCCTACAGTCCCCAGACATTCATGACATACTGACTGGTTTGGAGACTTTTATAAATTACCAAAATATAAAGTGCACTATGGCATATACTTTCCCCTATAAAATGAAATGCACCTGCAAAATTACAATGACATCTCGAGATCTATGTTAAATTTGTAAATACTAGACTAAAGTTATTTATACAACTATTCAAATAAACTAAGCACGTAGATTATATCAGTCATCTGGTCACATTAACTAGGAAATAATACTGAAGCCATGACAATGGGTGGTGGAGACTGTGCTCTTCAATACATGTACCACATGAAAGATGCAATAGTTTGTGACCTGGTATCTCGCAGGTTGTTGGTACCAATCTTGGCAGAGGAAACAGGTGACAAATATGGAACAAAGTTCTGAAGCAGAATGTAGAATAAAAGCAGGGAAGAAACTCACCAGGTATGAGCATCTTTAGAACACTGATTAACAGATTTTTTTTTTTTCCTTTGCAAATCTTTACGCCTTTCTGGATAGTCTCTACACACATTTATTATAGGTAACCTTAATGCTCTGATCCAAAATGAGAAAGGTACTGACTAAAAACCAAGATCTTTAACTATTCTAATGTGTCAACACCGCCTTCACCATCACTCTTTCTGACTTTGCCAGATCTCTGACCTTCAACAAGCTCTCCCTTATTACCTCAACCAAATGCTCAGAACCTTCACCACCCACTTACCAAGCAACATTCATACGGCAACTTCACTTTATTATCAGTAGGAGCAATTCTCTTGAAGTCATTCTCTGACTCTTTCCTTAGAGCTTTACAAGAAGTTATAACCATTTCAGTTTCACTTCATGTAAAAATTCTTTAATATTCTCTAAATAGTCAGAAATATACTTCTTATAGAAGTACATCTCTCTGTAAGGCCTGCTGTTGTGGGATCATTTAGTATGAAATCATATAACTACAATTAAAAATGTCTTGCCAAATCTGATGAGGGAATTTTATTAGGCTTCTTAGTCATCATTTTTAATTTTTAATTGAACTTGGGCAAACAGCCACAGTTTCACTCAGTAGCTTAGTGACTCCTATTATCACTTCCAGCACACATGAGCCAACCTTATGCCCTGTCTTAAATGAACAGAACACAGATGTTCAGGATCATTTGAAAGTAGTCAAAATTCTTAATAAACCCCAAGCACCAATAGATTATAGTGATATCATATAGTAAAGTCTCTTTGAATGGTAAGTATCGACCACAGAGTACAGAGGAAGGATAGATTATTTCGGCTGAGAAGCAATAGAAAAGTGTCAAAGAAGGGGTGACAATTAAGCCTCATCTTGGAAGATGACTAGAATTTTACTAGCAGAGGAAAGAAAGGCCATAACAGAATAAGCTAAGATGAAAATATAAAGATATTGTGACAATGGTAAAATATCTTATATACTGGATTAGGGAGAGTCTAGACAAGACGAAAAATAGCAAAAGTTTGCAAGTTTTAATTTCTTTACTAGAATTAAAATCATCAAACAATGAAAAAATTCTTTATAATTAGTTCTGACAACTTTTCAAATGCAACTGAGCTTTTAGGTAGTATTTTGTTTTTATTATATCTAACTGAATTTTCAAAATGCCCTGTTTCAATAATACCTTAACTTAATCATAATATGTACTTCTTAATTTTGAACTTGAGTCATATAACAGGATTTGATTAAGTAAGTTAATTCTACAGCAGGACTAAAAGTCTACATTCACCATACTAGAAACAAAAAACTCTTAAAACCAATCTATGCTAAGTTAAAATTTTTGTACTTAGTCTAATAAAAAACTATATTTTCAATAGAAGATAAATAGACTAATTCTAAACTGTTTAATTTAGAAGCAAGAATATTATTTAAAACCTATAGATGACTTTGGTCTTAAATTCTTGCTACTGTGTTATTTTACCAAAAAAAAAAAAAAAAAGAAGATTTTTGGATTATATATACTACAAAAGTAAAAATGGTTCATTTTTCTAGCATAAACTCAAGATAAACTACGTTCACTGTAAGCTAGCAATTAATAAAAATAATTTGTTGAAAAGATCCTTTAAGACTTAAGGGGAGAAGAAACAATAGAGGTCTAGTAACGAACATTAGAGGATCTAGAAATAATGCTCCAGATTCAGATAAGAGAAATAAATGCCACATGGTCTTCCCATGTGTGCTAGCCACACACCTGGAAAAAGTCTATCTATCTCTCAACATAATCTTCCCATGTCTGCTAGCCACACACCTGGAGAAAGTCTATCCCTCAACATAAAATCTAAGGCAAAAAAAGAATCAATTAAAATATGTCTCCCATGTTTATTTCTAAAACATTCCTTTGCTTATATGTGTTTGAACATATCCTTTTGTGCAAAATTGTTAAAATTTTAGAAAAGTCACTAAAAAAATATCTAGTGTAAAACTGGTCTTTAGAAATAACATTTAAAGTACCTACAAATTTAACTTTTCTAAAGGAATAAAAGAACTTCAAAAGAAATTCTTAATCACATAAAATTTCAATTATATTTAAATAAAAAACTAAAAGAGTGGACAATCAGGTATGATAGAACATAAGGATGTGTACAAAAACAAATGAGGAAACTTTTAAAGTACAGAAGAGCCAGCCCACAGAGATTCCCACTAGTTAAATCTGGGACAACTGGAGCAACAAAATAAATAATAATAAGTGATAATTCAATGAAAAATACAGGAATACATGACTCTATGCTACTTCAAATAAAATCATAAACAAATGAGAGAGAAGGGAAGGGACAACTCTCCTTTATAGAATGCCAATGTACAAATGCAGAAAAAATGATGGAATGCAAGTCATCATTTGACAACCACCATATTTGTGGGTATAAAAAATGGGTTTGTCAACTGAGCAGGGTCTGATAAAGTACAAGATATTTTTGTAATCTTTGGAAATTCTAACCAAAGAAAACGACCACTTTGAATTGAGACCTAATAGACAACAACATGACCAGATGGTCAAAGTTAACATCATAAGGCAGACTAGATGCCCCATGATGTGCTGCACAAAGAACATTTTCTGTATTATTCCTAGTACGAAAGCATTACCTCAGTCTTTTCATAGAGTAAACATGTATTCTGCTTGAGGGTCAACCCTCAGAATATGAATCACATACTCTATAATTAAACTGTTGAAAACACAAAAAATAAAGAAAAATTGAAAAATATTCCAGACTGGAAGAGACTGAAAAGATAATGTAGAAAAATATAGCATATTTTCCTGTATGGATTGAAATTGGTAAAATGTGAATCCATGAACATGACAAGCAACTGTTATCAATGCAGATTTTCAAACTTCTATAGCTGACGGTGGTAGCCAAAAATACTAGTTTCTAAAAAATACAATGGAGTAAGTACAGGTGATAAGGCATTATGCCTGCAGCTTTACAAATGTGTCAAAAGAGACTAATGATATGGGTATGTGCAGGAATAGAAGGTAAGGGTAAACAATGGCTAATATTTTGAAAATCTGAATGAAGGTAGAGATGGGAGTTTTATATTTATATTTGATACTTTTTTGTAAGTTTGAAGTTACTTCAAAATAATTTTTTTTTTTTTTTTTAAATTTTAGCTCTGCAACTTAAAAAGCAGGTGGCTTGCTTCTGTTATGGTCTCAAGAGGAAGAGCTGTGGAAAAGGAGACAGGAAACAAATATTTCAAGCAGCATTTTGGCAAAAGGAAGAGGAAAACAAAAGCAGTAGCTAGAGGACCCCTATAATATGGACAGAAAAGGTGTATTTGTTGTTTTTGTTGTTTATGTTAAACATAAACAAGGCTTTAAATATATGCATAACTTTTTTTAGACCTTTGCTTTAAAAAATATTTATTACATTTAAGGTAATCATAACAGACAGTATTTATGAAAGTTAGCATTCTTTAACACATGAATATCTCAGCTAAATTGCTGAAAATTACTATGTGCAGACTGCTAAAATAGCTACCGTATAGCTATGATACACTAGACACTGAGGTAACTATGGTGTAAAACAGGCATTGGCAACTTTTTCCTGTGAAGGGCCAGAAAATAAATCATTTCAGTTTTGTGGACTACATATATTTTGTCACATATTCATTTCTGTGCACGTTTAACAATCCTTTTTAAGTGAAAAAACCAGTCTCAGCTCAAGAACCTTACCAAAACAGACCGAGAACCATATCTGGCCCATAGGCTATGGTCTGCCCACCCCAAATATAAAAAGGTCAAAAACAATCCAATCAATAATAGGAAAGGGATTATTTTTCATACTTATGTAGGTAAACAAAAGCTATCAATACATATTAAATAAAAGATACCTTGAATAAAATTAGAGGTAAGGGGAAAATTATGTTAGATATGCAAACATTTTAAGAAAAACAAAATTAAAATTACATACTCTGGTGTATACACTGGTAACCAATAGACTAGTCTTCCACCTAATACGAGGGTCTCAGCTGCAAAGTTCAACAGGTCAAAAAACATATCACTCAAGTGATAACTCAAGGAAACAGGAACATGGCTTTCTGGACTATATAAAGAAAACAAAATTTCAAAATCAGTGAAAATTTTAAGACTACTGAAATTAACTAAAGAGAAGAAGCATGCTTCTCAAAGTAATAACTCCTCATATTTAAATTTTACTTACCACTTCTCTATCCCCCTTGGTATTTCTTTCTGTGAACCTGTTCTTCTTGTAGATTCTCTGATACCATATGGAGCTAGAGAGAGAATAAGTAATAGTGAACAAATCACCAATGAAGGGCAAATAGATATAATGTGCCTCCAAATGTGACACCAGAGGATACAACATCGCCTACGCACTATTCCAACTGAGAATAACTAACATAAAAAGTTGACTGTATTTTCAAAAATGTCTATGTCATAAAAGACATAGTAAGGCCATGAAAGTATCAGAAATAAAGGAAACCCCAAAGATATCATTACTAAATCCAATAACTGACTCTGGAGTGGTTCTTATACTCAAGAGAAAAAATATGCTGTAAAGGATATTAATAAATTAACTAACAAAATTGGATGACAATCTGTAGATTAAAGTATTGTATCAGTATACTGAAACTGAGAACTCTTTAGCTTTCTAAGACACTCCTTATTCTTAGGAAATATACACTAATGCACAGAGGTAAAGGACCACAATGTACACAACTTATTCTCAAGTTCATTAAAAAAAATTAATATACATACATAGTGGTGAAGCAAATAAATTGTTAATAAAAAGCCCAAATTTTCATAAAATATATTAACTCTGACATTGTTTTTTCCTTTGTTCTTTTTAGTTATACATGACAGTAGAGTATTACACCAACACTGTAATGCCTTGATAGTTTTTCTTTTATTAGAATTGAAGCCATCTAAGTTATTAAAAAACTAAACAGGGCTGAGATGGTTCTTGACTTTTCCACTATTTATAGATTACTGCCAAATACTATTTAAAAAGGTAGATCTAGTCTTAGATAGACAACCTAAAAATCCTAAGATTTCACAAGGCATAGAAAATAAGTTCTCATTCATATTTCTGAAACTTATTTCACAGAACCCCAAATTTATTCTAAGTCTAGAAAGGAGATACCAGTGAAAAGGACAAGACAAAACCTAAGAGGCTTGCAATATGTGACACCTGAAACTCTCTTCTCTGAGATGTGCTACAACGACTCTAAACAACATTTTAGTATGCTAACAACCAATTAATTAATTAGTCAATATAAAAACAAATGTCTCAAAAAACAATATGCTGAAGGGAAAAACAGGTGGTAAGTTATTATATTTGTTTAAAAAAAACCCAGAAAACCCATAGTTACTTAGTTCAATTATAATCATAATTAGTTCAATTATAATTATTACATTAATAATTTTCTCCTTTCCTATGTGAACAAATTGGGAGAAGGAGTACTACTTGTACAAGTTGGCATTCTGTGTCTATGATGACACATTTTGTACTTTACAGGGAAATGACTAGACAACTAATCCCACTACTATTTTTGTATAAAAATAAACTTACGGTCAGTGATAATGGCATCAAAATATGTGCCCTTCCTCCAGGAAGGTTTAGATGCATCTGAAACCAGTACATCAAGGTAATATTTCTCTAGACCATACTGACGAAGATTGGCTCTGATATTTTCATCTGGTCCTCTCCATTTCTGGTTTTTCCGACTAGCCTTTCCTTAAAGAAAAAAGAAAAAAAAAAAAAGAAAGAAAAGAAAGGTAGAAAGTATTAGATAAAACAGAACATTCTTATTTCCTGTTGTTTAGCTAAAAGTCACGTTTTAACTCATCTAAACCCACACTTATATAAAATTTGCTTTGATTTAAAACCTTCATTTTCTTTTTTTCCAGTCAAGCAACCACATATTCATACTAGCTTAACTGCTATGAGTTATGAGGAATTTTATTTTTTAATTTATTTTTTATTTGTTCTTTTTAGATACACATGACAATAGAGTATACTTTAACATATTATAAATACAAGGACTATAACTTAGGATCCCATTCTTGTGGCTGTACATGATGTAGAGTTTCACTAGTTGTATATTCATATATGAACACAGGAAAGTTACATCCAATTCATTCTACTGTCTTTCCTATTCTCGTTTCTCCCTCTTCCCTTCATTCCCATTTGCCTAATCCAACGAACTTCTCGCCCCCACAATACACCCACCCTTATTGTGTGTTAGCATCCACATATTAGAGAGAACATGTGGTCTTTAGTATTGAGGGATTGGCTTATTTCACTAGCCACAATAGTCTCCACTTCTATCCATTTACCAGCAAATGCCATAATTTCATCTTCTTTATGGTTGAGTAATATTCCATTGTATATATGTACCGCACTTTTTTTAATCCATACATCTGTTAAAGGGCACCTAGGTTGGCTCCATAGCTTAGCTAGCATAGACTGAGCTGCTATAAACATTGATGTGCTGTGTCACTGTAGTATGCTCATTTTAAGTCCTTGGGATATATATCGCAGAGTGGGATAACTTGGTCAAATGGTGGTCCCATCACAAGTTTTCTGAGGAATCTCCATACTGCTTTCCAGAATGGTTACACCAATTGTAGTCCCACCAACAATATATGAGTGAACCTTTGCCCCACATCTTGCCAACATTTATTGTTACTTGTATTCTTGTTTTTTTTTTTTTTGTTTTTTTTTTTAAGTTATTTTGTTTATTTATTTTTATGTGGTGCTGAGGATTGAACCCAGGGCCCCACACGTGCTTCACAAGTGCTCTACTGCTGAGCCACAACCTCAGTCCCATTCCTTCTATTCTTGATACTTGCCATTCTGATTGGCGTTAGATAGAATCTCAGTGTGGTTTTAATTTGCATTTCTCTAATTGCTAGAGATGTTAAACTTTTTTTCATATATTTGTTGACTAGTCATATTTCTTCTTCTGTGAAATGCCTGTTTAGTTTCTTTGCTGGTTTATTGATTGGGTTATTTGTGGGGTTTTTTGGTGCTAAGTTTTTTGAGTTCTTTGTATATCTTGGAGATTAATGCTCTATCCAAGGTGCAAGTGGCAAAGATTTTCTTCTATTCTGCAGATTCTATCTCACATTTTTGATTGTTCCCTTTGCTATGAAGAAGCTTTTTAGTTTAAAATCATCCCATATATTGAATTTTGCAAGTAAACCATTATCTTTATTTCAATTTGTTATTAAAAATATATTTCGAACAATAAAACACACTGATATCTAACAGAACTCCAAGTAAAACTGCCTTAACACACTCATTAAACACTTGCCAATTATGAAGCATTTACTGGTAAAAACAGAGTTGACTAGAACATGGCCATTTCCTCCAGCAGTAAATAGTCCCACATAGAGATAGTGCTGAACAGATAAATGAAACAGAAATGAAGAAAGCTAACCTGGGAAATGCAGCAACTGTGGCCATGGAGGCTAAATGCAGACATAGCTGATGAAAAGTCAAAGTGGGAGTTGAGGGAGGGCCCAAAAAGTTCAAAAGTTTCTAGTTTAGGAGACCTAAGTGTATGGTGATCCCAGTGATTAAGATCAGAGAAACCAGAAGGTAAAACAAGCTTAAGTGGAAAGTTTGAGATACATAACCATGATAAACCTGAGGTACTTACAGAACCTTCAGAAAGAGATATTCTGCTAAAAGAGGTAATCAGCAGGTAGCTGAAGGTCAGAACACATGCATTTGGGAGATATCCGTACATGTTGCGTTCATGAGAATGAATGACTTTTTTTGTTGGCCTAGGTGCCAGTCACATTGAAGTTTGCTCTAAAATTACTCTTAAATATTTATACATGGTTCTATGTGATCTAAAATTCACAATAAAAACAAAACAAAAAAATAAAAAAGAGAATGACATAACTCAGAACAACATGCAGTGTAATATGAGCAGGGGTCAAAGATAGATGCCTGGAGAGAGGCAATATGTAAACAGAGATCAAAGAAAATTGCAACATCTTAAGGAGACTGAGATAAAACAGTCAAAAAAAAAAAAAAAAAGTCAAACCACAGAGTGAGACCACTATCTAGGAAACCAAGGAAGGTTTGTGAGGGTCAACACTGCCAAACACTGTTAGTTTTGTGGCCTCACTAAGCATTTCCAGCAGATTTGTGGACATCGAAGCTGAAAAACAAGTGCTAAAGAAAGAGTAAGAGTAAGAAATGAGGAAAAGGAGACAGCAAGCAAATACTAGTATTTCAGCAGATTTTGGCAAAACCCCCAACAGGACTGATAGGAAAGGTTTAGGACTTTTAAAGTAGGAGAAACTTGAGAATATTTTAGAATACAGTCTAAGATGAGAAGCATAAAGTTTAGAGGATATACAATAGCACTACCTTTGATAAGATCTGAGGAAACAATATTCCCGGTAGAATGACTATCACAGAAATTTTAAAATCTTAAAAAATAAAAATTCAAATAAATTATATAGGACAATATCCTTAAAGCAGGCACAATGCTTCTACTGAAAGCAAACTAGATACTTTTTAGCATTTTGTTTATTCTAATATAATGCAGACAAAGAATATACTTTTCTGGTTAGCCCCTTTATGTAAACCATTTAAAAATAAAACTCATTTTTCTTCCTCATAAATATTACTAAATTTCTTAGAGTCAAGGTAGGAAAAAAGACAGGACATCAGTACAATACATCAATTGCTTCAGTAAAAGAAAAGAAAGCATAATAAAATCTCACCTATACAACGACTTATAGCAAATAGGAATAACCAAAAGGAAGAAGTGTTTTAAGAGCTGATTTAAGTTACCATAGTGAAATACAAACATAAAGATCAATACTTCCAAATTATGAATAAAATTTAACATTTGTAGTACTATTTAGCTATAAGAAAACACTTTTTCAATTTGATTCAATTCCATCAAAATACACATCATCAGTGAAGCTTTTAAAACTTAATGCATTATCCAAAACTGCTGGATGTGGTGGCACACACCTGTAATTCTAGTGACTCAGGAGGCTGAAGCAGTTGGATTGCAAGTTCAAAGCCAGCCTCTGCAACTCAGTGAGGCCCTAAACAACGTAGTGAAACCCTGTCTCAAAAAAAAGGCAAGGGGGGTGCTGAGGACATGGCTTAGTGGTTAAGTGCCCTTGGGTTCAATCCCTGGTACCAAAAAAAAAAATTTCCAAAACTGCCCCAAAAGTAAATCAGATTCTTATCTCAAGTTACTCTCACTTAAAGGTAGAATCTTTAAAGTTACTGTCCCCTAAGTGTTTCAAAGATGCATTGGTCAGTTATGAAAGTTAAAATTTACATGATACTTCAAAAATTAGGTATTAAATACTAATCCAGTATATACTCAATATATGATTACTGAATAAATGGATAGTTACAATCTTAAATAATATAAACTATATATATATTTTCATAATATGTATTTATGGATTACAAAATCGCTATTTCCTCTTTTTCTCTCTTAAACTTCAAGCTCATGAATCTATAGTTTGCCTACTTTTTTTTAACCTCTTTTATTAAGACTACAAATACCTCTGGGGAGAGGTATTTTTCTTATTCATCTCTGTGTTCCTCCAAATCATTATGCACATACTCTTATCACTTTGTAAAAAATAGATATTCGATGAGGTCTTACTTGTAAAAAGTATAATTATATTGCAATTTTGTATTTTAAACATAAAAAGTCATATAAGTCTATTTTATTATTATTTGAAAGGCACATTTGGCTCAACAACAAAGACTGTGACACTGTCTGTAAGTTCTACTCACCCAAGCCATGAACTGTATTATAGTCTATGTCTGTCCCATATACATATGCACCAAAATGAGCAGATGCTATCAGGAGGCCACCTGAAAAATCACACAATTATGATCTGTTAAGCAGGAAGTCCCAGACTATTCTTTCTCTCCCTACTTAATGTGATCCAGAATTTTACAAATTAGCCACAGGCAGAGTACCCTGTAATGATACTGATCCTGTCCTATTTTGCAAGACACAGAACTGGGGTGCAGGTGGGGGAGACAATATCTTTTGTGGTCAAAATAACGAATATTTAGACATTTTTTTCTTATTTTAAGAAGTTTATACAGAAATGACTTGCTTCTTTATTTAAAATGAGTATGTACAGCTGCTTACACAAAGAGTTAAAAATACATAAATTCTGATAATTGGATTTTAATCTCACTAAAGTCAGAGTTTCAAACAACTAAAGGAAACATAATGCATATGTAAGACATTCATTCCTACAAAATGTAATCTATATCCTATTTTAAAATATTGTTACACCTGCAACTAATCAAGTAATTAGCTCTTGGTTTAAACTATTAATTTCTAGGTAACTATTATCAAACATAAAACAATTAATACAATTATTTTTCTGTTTAGTTAAAGTTATGACCAAAGTAAGAATAAATGCCCTAATAAAATTGACAAGACTACATTTTGACAGATGTTATCAGCTCAAAAAAGAAAAATCCTAATAATGATTTTTTTTTCAAGTGAAACTTTAAAAAAAGAGAGAATAATAGTATTTTGGAATCCTTGAAGAAAAAATTAAATTTTTATAATTATATTTTCATTAAGCTTCACATTTTTATTCAAATTAAAATGCTTTTAGTTCTTGTTCAAGTCCTAATTAGCTATAATATAGAAAGTTCTGTCAGTCAAGCTGAAATCAGAAATATATTCTTAAGACTAAAAAATATGCACAGACTTGGCAGAGAAAAAAGCTAGGGTTCTTATATCCTTTTGAAATCAATCTTTAAAATTAAGATGGGTAGTGCCTCCAGAGGGTCAAGATCTACAAAGTAATAGTGTTCCTCCCATATCCATTTAAAACACAGTCTGATAACATTACTTAAAAATATTCTGCTCAGGAAAATATTATACCTGACTAATCCCTACTGGAGCCTTTGAAGAAGAGAAGTGGAAGGGATTCAAAGTACAGCAAAACCTATGGCTTCTCACACTAACTGCTGAAAGCATTTGTGTAAGAGGTAAGGCAAAAAGGAGCTCATAATTCTTAGTCTAGAAATGAAGCAGGCCATACTTAGGAAAGGTACTATATGTGATGACCTGGAATACTCACAAAGTCACTTCACCCAAATCATGAGGAATTACTACAATTCTGCCAATTAAGGCAGATACTCACCTAGAAGAACTAGTTGTCAAGGGGAACAGAAAAGCTTTCCTGTGCTTCCTTAACAGAACCTTATCCATTTGGTTAGAATGAGTTTTGAGAAGACTCAATTTACAGTACACTGCTGAAAGGAGATGAATAATCTGTTAGACTACATCTGTTAGTTAACTCTGTGCCTTTTAAGCTTTTAGTTTTTAAAAATAAAATCATAATAAATTGGTTTCTCTGAACTGGTTACTCTTCATTCACTGCTAATCATCTAGTTCTAGTGGTTCTTTCCTTAACTTGAAGCATTTTTGCATTTAGTTATACCTTGGTTGGAATTTTCTTGGAGGCTTTTTGGTGAAAAAAGAGGCACTTAAAAAGGAGGGTGAAGTGTTGAGAATATAGGTAACATGACTCACCCACTTCTTTTTATGCTATTTGAAATAAAATTACTGCATAATTAGTCTAGAATAGCAAGTTGGTGTTTTAATTTCTCATTACAATAACCACTGTAATTTCAATTTCTCAAAACAGTAGCCCCTTTAAGGTTAGGGTAATATCTTACAAGTAAAAAAAATATAATAAGTAGAATTTATTCCATGATAAAGAAACTAATTCAAGATTGGCATTTTTAGAGAGCTAAATGGAAAGCTTTGCTGGGCTTTGCTTTTGCTAAGAGAAAAAGAGAAAAGCTGGTAATACTGCATCTATTTGACCTTAAAAAAAAAAACAAAAAAACTACTTAAATAAACTTGCAAAAGAATACTGCTAAAAACAGAAATTCTACTAGACAAAAATCTATAAGACTCAGAAAAAGGAGACTACAAGAATTATGGGAAAATGGGAAATAGAGAATATTACAAAGATGTATAAAGATCCATTCTCTCACTCTCCAAACTTCTCTTTTCCTCCCCATAGTCTCCTCCCAGGACTGAAAGAGTCAGTTTCCTAACACCTAGAATCCATGCCTCTCTTTTCCAGTGACAAAATTTCTAACAGAGCTATCCTTACACCTAGCAGTCATCTGAAGAGTAGACAAGGCCAAAGATGCTGAATCATAACTAGAAGAACTGACTCATTTGAGAAGAGAGGATGAGAAAGAATCATAGTTATGACTTCAGAGCTCTATGGTACCTTCAGCAATCAGCAGACACTTGCACCAACTATTATAATTATGAATAAAGAATTAACATTTATTATTTTTAAACCCCAATTCCTTAGCTCGCTGCAATCATTGTAAACTATAAATATTTTGAAAATTAGTCAAAGAGAAAGTGAATTCATGGTCAAGTTACTCATCATCACCATTTACTATTAGCTATATGTAACATCTTTCACCAAAAAGGCATCTAAGTTCTTAATAAAATAACAATGATAAACATTACAATTCACTCAATGTCTACCATGTGTCAGGTTAACAACCTAAGAATATTGTATATACTTAATCATCACAATATATTACTATTATCAATTTATACAAATAATGAGCTGCAACTCAGACAAGATTCTTGCTCAAAGTCATCCAGTAATTGGTAGATATATTAAAGCTCACTCTACATGCTCTTTAAAAAAAAAAAAAATACCATACTACCTCCTTTGAGGTCAACACTAATTAGAGTAAGTATATATTGGTTTATATTACATTAACTTATTGCTATCATTTGCATGTGAAACACCCCTAAAGGCCCATATGTTAAAGTCTTGGTCCCAAGGGTGGTGCTACTGAGAAGTAGTGTAACTTTTAGGAGGTGAAGCTTAGTGATTTAAAGTCCTTAAATCCTTGAGGGTGTTCTCTGGGGCTAGAACCTAGGCCCCTTCCTCTTCTGCTCCAGGCTGTGAGAAGAGCAGTTTGCTCTGCCATGTGCTCCATGCCATTACCATCCAATACTTCCACCAGAAGTCTAATAGCAATGGGTTTGTTCAATCATGGAATGAAATCTCTAAAACTATGAGCCAAAATAAATCTTTTTTCTTCATAAGTTAATTATCTCAGGTAGTTTATTATAGTGACAAAAAGCTTACTAACACACTTACCAGTTAAACAAAAGAAAAATTTTATCACTAAACAAATTAAATAACATAAGAAAATCTGCATACTCAGTAAAAATTGCATACCATTTACAAGCCTTGTAGCATATCACAGGCAGGGCTTTGCTAATCACTCTGTTAGCTATACTCATTCATATCAGATTATATCCTAACTACTGAGAACTAACCCAGTGGCATGTGTCTTCATTTGGACAATTCTTACACAATGTAAGAAAAATTACTAAAACAAGAATTGACGTGTTTGCTAAAATAGAAAGGAAAGTATATTTCTGCAGCTTTTAATGCAATTCTAAACAACAGTAGCAAACTGTCTAAAAGAAAAAGGCATTTAGGCAGGAAAAAGATTTATAATCTTAAGAAAATCACAAGTTAGGAGTAGTTTTTGAAAAATCCATTTGGGAAACTATATAAATTTCAATTATGTTCCTTTAAAATAGAAAACAGATTACGTAAACTTAACTGTATAAAAAAAAAGTTAAAGAAAGGAAACCAAAGGTAGAAACATCATCAAATATTTTGTGAAAGCTAAGGCTACAGAGGAGGGCACAGAGCTATTTATTATTCTAATCCTTCAGAAGGTACTACCCATCAACGAGGCAAAAGGCCCAAGAGAGAGGACAAAATGTGCTTAAGAACTCTCTGGTCACAATTTTTGGTTATGATCAATTTCAAAACAAAAGTACCAAAACTGACTTATTTCCTAAAACTACATTCAAACTACAAACACAAGCTATGAAATTATATTTTAGCAGCATCTTTGTAAAGAACCTCTTTTCATTTTATATTAATTCTTCTAGATGAATAGTCAGAGGATATACTAGGGATATAGATATACTATTCACTGTAAGGAGCTGCTCTAAAGCAAACACAGCACATGTCCTTGCTCCTCACTACACTAAAGGCAGTCAACATCTTGACCACAGTGATATTAGCACACTATAATATACCCAGCTTCACCTATATCAAGAGAAGGAAATTTTACATGCAGTGACAATTATTTTTTTAACTCTATGGTCTCATCTATGATATATGTCTGTACAAAACTTATTTTGTACATGTATTCATTTCAAAAAATTCTTCACAAACATTTTTAAAGTCCAAGAACAGATTAAGGATTTATAATAAAGAGTTTAACATTTGGAAAAAAAGATAAATCAGATCAATTCCTCAGATCATACAAGGGAATAAACTCTAAAAGAACCAAAGATATAAAAGAAAAAAAAATAAGACTACAGAGGAAAACAGAGAAATGTCCCTGTAATATGAATATAGGGAAAGTGTTTTCATGGTAAATAGCATTTACAAGCAAACTCACAAGATAAATTAGAAGCTGGGAGAAAATATTTGCAACATATATCATGAATAATGGGGTGGGGGCTGGGTGTGTGTTGCACTAATGTCTAACAAAGGACTTTTAAAAATAAAGGGCAAGGTCAGGCATGATAGTGCATGCCTTTAATTCCAGTAGCGGAGGCTAAGGCAGAAGGATGGTGAGTTCAAAGCCAACTTCAGCAACTTAGCAAGGCCCTAAGCAACTCAGTGAGACCCTGTCTCTAATAAAATACAAAAAGGGGCTGGGGATGTGGCTCAGTGATTATGTACCCCGGGTTCAATTCCCAGTACCAAAAAAAGAAGAATGGCAAAAACAACCCAAAATTCTGTACAAAAAGAGGCAAAAGACATGAAGCCAATTCCAAAAAAAGTAATGTAAATGGCTCTGTAAATGGAAAAGTTGTTAGATTTCTCTCTAATAAAAGAAATAAATTAATGCTACACTAAGAAACCATTTTTAACCTAACCAGCTGGCAAACCTTCAAGTTCAACTGGTGAGACTGTGGGAGAACAAGGACTCTCTTATGTTGTTGACAGGAATCCAGACTGTATAATGGAGAGGAATTTAGCAACATCTAACAAAACTACCTAGGCTTCCACTCTTCAACCCAGCAATCTTATGTCTAGGAATTTGTCCTAGCTCCATTAGCTCAACATTGCAAAGGTTATTCATTGAAAACATTAGTTTTAAACAAAACACTAAAAAATACCAACATCCAAGAATAAGAAATTATCATAGTACATACATCTATGGAATACAACTATAAAAAAGAATGAAGACAATCTCCATGAACTGACATGAAGTAATTTCCAGGAAATACTGTTAATGACGAAAGCAAAGTTAGAAACAACATATACAGTATGCTACCTTTTGTGGAAGAAAGCAGAATGAGAAAATGTCCATATATCAGGTTAGCACTAGAAAAAGAAAAAACAGGAAGAATGAACTAGGAAACAATGAAGTTGGAACATGATGGCACATGCCTATGATCCCAGCTATTTACGAAGCTGGGGCAGGAGAATTTCAAGTGTGAGGTCAGCCTCAGCAACTTGGTGAGAACCTGCTCAAAAGAGAAATATTCTGGGAACTGATATATGTAGCTCAGTGGTTTAATCTCCTATACCAAATGTGGTACAAACAAAGTTGGTTACTAATGTGGGATTCAGGGAGCAGGATGGAAGGAATGGATATGAAAGAGATTTGACACTTTTCTGGGTACATTTTATTGTGTAGTTCTGACTTTAAGGAAGTAGGGGGTGGGGATAAAAATCTAAAACTGAAGGCAAACTAGAACAAATGAATGCAAGTAAATTTTAAATGAAGGAGAAAATTAAGCAAGCATAGTATTTGAGTTTGTTGTTCAACAGACAGGGTGGAGAACTGAACACATATCTTGAACTCCTTTAAGTAAGATTCCCTTTCTTTCTTTTTCTTTCTTTCCTTTTTTAGTGACATGAATGAAGCAATTTCAAAACTATTTTAATTACAGAAATGAGCAAAAGAGCAAACGTGTTGATCTTGATAAAAATAAAGGTTCTCAATGTGGAAGAAGGGACACATAAAAATATGAAATGGAGTAGGCAAAAGAGAAATCCATGAAGATCAACTGGAATATGATAGTATAAACACAAGTATAAATCACAATTTCTAACACGTATCTGTGTGTAGGCGTACATATGTTCACACACTGTGGGGAAGTATATGTGTGTCTTTTTGCATATGCACTTAAATGCATAATATGTTTCCTAGTTTGTCCTCTGAATAGGTCTAGAACTCAGATCTTGGTCTCTAATACCATCTCCTCACTCAAAGAAACAAGTGTTCCTTAGAGAAATGACTTGATACTAAGGCCAGAATGGCCATAATATAAGCCAAAAATTAATAAAGGGCTTCAAAGGAGGAGGAAAAAAATTAGAAACATATGAACATGTTACAAACATTCAATGTGAAAAGGCTAGGCAAATATGGGACAATTTGAACAACAACAACAAAATAATTAAGGACTGCCATGTATTATAGACCACCAGAGGCAAACAAACAAACAAAAAAAGGTGTGGGGGACCTATTCATTCACATTATTAATAGGTAAGTAAATAGAAAGAAAAGAAGAAAGGGTTGCTGCTTACAGCAGAATAATGAGAGTTGACTAGTGGCTATAGAAGGATTGGTGGAGCTGAAGGAGTGCTGGTTCATCCCTTTGCAACCATCAGAGCACAGACTGTTTTGACAAGAATCATATCAACAGACACCAAACCTGACAACCTTATAGATGTGAGAGGACATTTTCATAAGGAGAACAGTTACAGGGTCTTAATGTGTCTCCCCACAGATTGCTTATTAACTTCAAGGGGAAAAAAAAACATAATCATCATGCAGTGGAAACAACAAACACCATACTGATCAAAATTAACATTACTAATGAGAGACAGAAAGCCATCATGTATATACCCTGAGGAGGACAGACACCACTGATGTAGTAATCCCACTGGGAATGTATAACCTGAATCTAATCATGAAGAAGCATCAATCAACTCAAAATGAGGAATGTTCTAGAGGAAAATAACCAAGGGAGGAGGAATACCATTCTTCAAAGGTGTGAATTTATAATAATACAAAAAGAAAGGCTTGGAGGATTGAGGACATAGCTCAATGTTAAAGCATTTGTCTAGCATGTACAAGGCCGTGGATCCATTCCCACACCACAAAAAAAAAAAGTCTAGCTATGTTCCAAATCAAAGAGATAAAAGAAATATTGGTAATAAAATACAATACTTGATTCTAGACTGGAAAGGGAAAAAGGATGCCCTAAGAAACATTGTTAGATCAACCGACAAAAGTGGAAAATGAATGTTATTGTATTAATACTATATTTAATAATATCAAAAACAATGGTGGTTATATAAGTAAAGATATTCTTTATTCTTAAGAAATACAACTTAAAGTATGTGGTGAGGAAGAATGTGTCATATGCAATTTTGAAATGATGCAGAAAAAATATTCTGTATATATACATAAATAGAACAAGTGATAAAGCAAAAGAAGTTTAATGTTAACAATGACTTAAGCTGGGTTAGAATATGTGAGGATTCTTTGTTCCACTCTTATTCTTGTGACCTTTCCAAATATATGTGTGTGTGTGTGTGTGTGTGTATTGTAATGTTGAGGGTAGAATACAGGGAGACAATGGCAGACTAGAAGAGAATTCACTAGCAAATTAATTCAGCAACAACAAAAAACATTAAAAAATCTTTTTGTTTATTTTGGTAGTGCGGACTAAACCCACGGGAGCTTTGCCACTAAGCTACATCCCCAGTCTTTTTTATTTTTATTCTGAGACAGAGTTTTGCTAGGTTGCCAAAACTGGCCTTGAACTTACAATCCCCCTGACTCAACCTCCTGAGTCACTGGGATTACAGGTATGCACCAGCACGCCTAGTCAAAAATCTTCCCATCAGCTAGAATATCTTGACCAGATACTGTTTCTAACACATATGATCACACTCCTTAAGTTGGTATATAATAAGAACTAACTGGGAACCTAATGCACAAAGAGGCAAGCCTATGGTAGTGGTTCAGAGAATGAGTTCTAGAATCAGAGTGCTTGAGTTTGAATCCTGTCAAACTTACACACTGTATAACCTTGGCCAAGTCATTTAATCTATCTGTGCCATAAATTCCTGAAAAAGACTTTTAAAGTGTCTCCATATTTTTGTAAGAAGTAAAACATTAACATTAGAGTGCAGGGTATCATACATACCCGACACATATACTATTCAACAATGTTAACTTTGCATCATCACCACTCACATGGAAAACTGGCTACGTGGAGAGACTCCAACTACAAACTGAACCACAATGGGGTGAGCCAGACAAAATTAAATACGAGTACTCCCTGGGTATAGGCAACATCAATCAAAAACAATCTGAAGCAAGAAAAACCCTTCCGAGTCAGATGAAGTACACACTTAGTTTTAGGACTTCCACACAAAATTAATTAGAGGTACCCTAATCAAGTACAGGCAGAACCCAGGTCATCGGCATAGCAGTCAGTCTCTAGTCTGCTGATATTTAATCACTTTTATATTCACACTTATAAATTCTCCAAAACCAAATCAAAGACAAAATTCATTAACTATTTTTCTCCAACCAAATATATGGTTCTCACCAGGCACGGTGGCGCACACCTGTAATCCCAGCAGCTTGGAAGGCTGAGGCAGGAGGATCATGAGTTCAAAGACAGTCTCAGCAAAAGCAAGACACTAAGCAATTCAGTGAGACCAAATCTCTAAATCAAATACAAAATAGGGCTGGGCACAAATCTCTGGTACCCAAAACAAAAAACAAAACAAAACAAAAAAATATATGGTTCTCTTTTAGAACATGAACTTTTTTTTTTTTTTTAATTGTGTCATTCAAGCCTTTTTCCTCCAAGAGCTTTCTTGTTTTTAAAGGAAAAAAAGAAAAAGACTGTCTTGGTACAACATAAGATAGTACAAATTTTCTGCTGTAAAAAAATTAGATAATGCTCCCCTCTAGTGGCTTACTTGGAATAAAGCCCATAAAATTCTATCAGCACCATCTTTGAAGTAGCAAAGGTATTAAATACTATTACAAATATAAAGTTGTCTTTTAGCTACTACCCAATGAAAAAGTATTATTCTGTCCATTTAATCTCTCATCAAAAATACTACTATGACCTTTACTACTACAAACAAGCAGTATCTCTACATTAGCTTAACAGTTAAATAAAAATACCTGTTCCAACAAATGGATCAAAGACAATATCATTTTCTTTCACTTTTCCATGGTTTGCCATGATGAATGATAAACCAGCATCCATGCTTGTATTTCCAATAAAGTGTCTCTTTTTGACACTATATGACTCAATTAGCTCTCTCTGTCCATCTGCAATCTAAATCAGAGATATTTTTCAAATTAGTAAAACTATAGAGAAGAGATTTAAGATTTCAGATAATCACAAAAAACCACAGCATCCTGTTGATGAGAACTTTCCACTTAACTACTGCTCTAAATTCATTCTTTTAAAATGTTTTTGAGGTAGTTCTGGACAAATATCTTTCCCTTTACTATGTCTTTTCAAACCAAATATGAATTGAATTTGAACATAATTATTCCAAGAATTGGTGCTGATAAGCTTTCCCCATTTCTTTTTCTCCTAAATAACAATAATCTATAACATTAGTCTCAGCTTCCACTTACCCACGTACAGCCCCAGGGAAGTGAGCTGAAGTGTTCTAAGTAATCCATTTCTCTTAAGAATTAAGGCCTGGATTTAAGAGTTCCATAAATGAGATCCACAACTATTACAGTACTCTGCCTTCCTTCTACATTAGTAAAAAAGCAGTTGTTCAAATTTTCTGGTAAATTTTGTTTTAATGTCACTAGGCACACCACTGTCATCCTAGGTCACATATCTAATAAGCCTCTTGAACCTCAGAAATCTCTGGAGAAATGCATTGCATTTTTTGTATAAAGGCATTACCTTTTTTTCTTTTTTTTGGTGGAGCTGGAGATTAAATTCAAGTCCTTATGCATGCTAAACAAGTCACTCTGCCACTGACCTATAACCTCAACCCATATTCAGCTTTTAAAAGAAACAAAATAAGATAGAAAGAATACTTGCTTACCCATCTACCAAAATAAATATTATATGGATTCTCAGGGATGCAATTAGGGTCCAAACCATAATCCTCCAAAATAGAGAATATATGTTGTGGTTTCTTTAAGTTCACTTTTCCTTCAAAGGGCAGAAATTCAAGTGCCTAAAAAATATAAGCAACTGTAATGTTCTATAAAATTTTCCAAGGGAAAATAGTACTTAACTAATAATATCTACCATGTAAGTCTGATGTCAGCAATTAAATAAGATAAAATGTGAAAATCCTTAGCAAAATTGTGGTACAAAACAAACAAAACACTTGACATTAGCTGTTCCTATATATCAACAATGACTAGATTAGATTAATACTCTAGGGGTTTTATTTTGCTAAATTCACTTACATCTATTCGTTTGACTTTTTCTTCTTGTGTCAATGTTTTATTAAATGTGTGAATCTTTATTTTATATGTAGAGTCTGAATGCAGAAATGGAACCTAAAATAAGCAGATAATTTTTTAAGACATTAGTAATACAAAATGTATATATATGCTTATATAAAAATCACATTTCACTACTCACCATCTTCTCCACAGGGTAATTTTTAAGAGAACTATACAACTCCTCAGGAGATCTTCCATGACCCCATAGTTCAAATATAGACCTAGGGAATAAATGATTGGTACTAACCTCAGTAAAGAATTTAGTTCACACAGTAATATTTAAGTTATTTTACTAATTCTTTACACTCACTCTTTAACAATTATTGTCTGTGTGTTCTAAGCTACAAACAACAAATACATGTTCTGGAAACAAATATAGCATAAGTCCAAATCACACAAAAAAGTTGAACCTAATAGAGTTGGGTGGAAATTTAATATAATTTAGGATTTATCCAAGTTTTCATCTTTTTATATGCTAGGATTGAATCCAGGGCTTTGCACAGGTTAGCATTCACTCTACCAATTGAGCTATATCCCTGGCACCCCATCATTTTATTTTTATGCTAGATCAAATGATGCAGTAAAATCATTTAAGATATTTTGGTCAAATGGATGAGAAGTTGCAGAAAATCCAAGTTTTCCCAATGTCTTCTCCATAAAACAAAAAGGACTATATACAAATGTTGCTATTAGCATTTGGCTATGATTTGGTAATATCTATTAACAAAGCTACTCAAAATGTTAAGATTTAACAATGTAGATATCTTTAGGTTTGCTACAGTTTTTATCTTATTTTGTGTGATCAATATAGTCTAAGCTAAAAATAAATAATTAAAACCCATTTTCAATCACTTTTCTACTACAGAAAATTCTGAATTTAAGTTAGTTTTTGGGGGCTTTTTGGTACCGGGGATTGAACTCAGAGGCACTCAACAATGAACCACACCCTCAGTCCTGTTTTGTATTTTATTTAAAGACAAGGTCTCACCGAATTGCTTAGTGCCTTGCTTTTGCTGAGACTGGCTTTGAACTCCCAATCCTCCTAAGAACCGCTGGGATTACAGGCATGCACCACTGCACCTGGCTTAAGTTAGTTTTGAATTTATGCTTATAAGTCTATTTTCATTCTGCTACGAGATTGTAAATACTATCCTTTAAAAATGAATTCCTCCTTTTCATTCTATTGAATTTATACAGAAAAAAACTCTATTCTTACTACTCTTACTTAATAATCTCTTTAATATTTACTTCAGCCATGCAAATTGTGGAAGAAATAAACTGAAAAAGTATTATGTAATATTATTTAATATTACATTAATTTTACCAATCATCAAATATAAGCATCAGATGATATCAGTTTTAAAAGAAGTGCACAAATTCTTAGTACTCAGGTATTTGTTTTAAATTGAATAAGCCTCATATTTGGAATTCAAACACTTCAGCCAAAAATTTTGAGATTATCAGGTAAAGTAATAAGTTATTCAAAGAGTATTTTTTAGTTATGTTCTCATTTTAGAGTCATTTTTATTTAATAAACAAGACTCACTAACAAATTTCAGCTTAAGGGATTAGACTTTTAGGGCTGCAGGTAGATCTCAACGGGAGGAAGTTCACTAAATAAGGGGTTGTAGCCAATTCAATGACAACAGAAATTACATATCACACTATGAAGCATTGCTAACGATGTTAATAAAATGATATATGAATAATCTTAATTGCATTGCATTAATAAACATAATTTCTAAGAGAAAGGTTTTCAACAACCTGTCAAAATATTCAAGAAAAAAAACAACTGAGAAAAACTAAAAAGTGTCAATAAAAAAAAAAACTTTTTAAGAAAAAAATGCAAGAAAAGGAAAGAGTAGATGTCAATGATAAAATCTAGAAACTCAGGATAATTTATTAATTTATACCAATATACTTCATTAATTTATATCAATATATGATCATTAAACTGTTTTTTCTTTAACAAAGAAAACAGTAAAACATGTTTTAGGGCAGTCCCCACATTTTGTTACATTACACTTTACCAGTCTGCTCAATCCAACTAAAAATAACCTGTATGAAAAGCATTTTTTGGCCAGGAGTGTTGGTGCATGCCTATAATCCCGGCTATTCGGAGAGGCTGAGGCAGGAGGATCAAGGATGTAGATGTAGATGAGTGACAGAGACCTCTGGGTTCAATCTCCAAATATAGGGGAGAAAAAAAAATCACTTTCTGAAATTTTAATACTCTGGTTATACTTAAATGTGGCATCTATCCTACATAAGAATGTAGCATTTATACCTCATACTATACTCCCAGTTAATACAGCACTTTAAAGAAAAATGGTTCTAAGCAAGAGTTTCTCCATTTCTCCATTGAGAATCTTCCAACTTTTAATTTCAGCAGGTAATTCTGTTCCCACACCGCCACCCAGTGGTAAATGCATGTTAACTACAAGATAAACCAAGCTCCTGCCACAACCAGTCCTACTTCCTACCAAAATAGAAGAGGGCAGTTAAGTATGGGATACACTCATGCAGGATAACATGGTAAGTTTTTCTTACTTGGCACACACTGTCCGTTTCATTAAGTTTCTTGCAATATCTTCAGAGGGAAGACTAAGAATCCAAAATGGTGACTGAAATAAATAATAATACACAAGTTATTTCTAAGTAGCTACCAACACCTGGTTCGCTTTTATTCAAGAAGTCAACAGGAGAAATTTCTATTTGCTGCTTTCACTTAAGAATACCTGACCTGACTGTATAGAAAAATGATCCAATGAATGAAAATATCAAATTAAATTTAAACTTATTTAACTTTAAGGTTAATTTTGTATTTGCCTTAATGTAGCTTGACTAAAAGAATCAATGCACATTATACTACAGAATACAATCTTGGAAATTTTTATCTTTGCTTATCATTTCTTATAGTACAGCTATTTTATTTTTAACTTATAAGTAATGTATTTCTTAATACTAAATGATCTCTTTTTCTAAGTAGCTATGGTTATCTGAGAGGTAGATGAGGGCCCTGTGAAACAACTATGATAGATAATCATGGGGAACATTATTATTACCATTAAGTTGTACTGTTTTATTATATTGTCTAGGAGGAAAAAAAAAAAAAAGGTCCGAGTCAATCAGGAGTTTCTCAATCCCCTATCTCAATACCCAAGATTACAGGAAATATCTTCTCAAACAGCCCCTTGCCAGAATACTGCCAAACACAGCAGTGTCCTGACCTCATTCATCACTCTCCTTTCACTTTGCCTCAATAACTGAAAGTAAATAAGGAATATAACTCCAATACCACGGAACTTTTAATTTAAGTTCTCTCATCTTTTGCAAGAAATCCTCCCTGACATTAGCAGTCTATCTTCTTCCAGTATTTACACTATCCTACAGAAAAATTCAAAATAATCCAAATAGAAAAACAGATCATTAGTATTAATTCTATTAAAAAAATTTTTAAAGCAATCTAAATTAAATTAAATGGTTATGTAAATTATGGTATAGTGCAATTACATTGGTGATAAAGGCTAAGAACAACACATACCTATATTAATATTGTCAAATAAAAAAGGTTATAGAAGTTCATGGTAAGTAATATTACAACTGAGGAGGATAAAGGATATGAAAAAGACTGGAAGGTCACATCCCCAATTATAAGTCATGACAAGGTGAAAGAACTGTAAATGATTTTTCTTTTCTTTTTCTGTTTTTCCAAACCTCTTTAAAATACTGATAAACTATAAATACAAAATAAAAGCTTATAAATTCACAATCGTATACAGTATAAAATTTCAAATTTTAAAATTATGCCAAATATAAACCTACAGTTCATTTAAATTGTAATTCTGAATACATTTCATCAACAGAATATAGTCCTTTCTTAAATGAAAGAACAGATATACATTATGGTGCAAGTGTTGAATTAAAAATTAAATTTGGGACTGGGAATGTAGTTCAGTGGTAGATGACTTGCCTAACATGTATGATACGCTGGGTTCAATCCCCAGCACCAAAAAATGAAAATAAAAAATAAAAATTTAAAACTGTAAGTACATCTGTTACTTTCCAAAGCCATAATCTTCCCCTAAATATCCTTTTTATTTCATTTTCTCTAGGAACAGATACAAATAACCACATAAATATAAATTTAAGCTTTGTAGTTCTCTTCAAACCCAAGATTCTATTTATATATACATTACATATGGTCTAATGAAAATTCTCCTTACCTTCCCATAAGTTTCATGACTGCTGATGAACTGACCTCCAAAAAGTGAAAGCAAAGATTTTATTTCCTGCATTGAAAATATTATAGAGAGAATATATTTCAAACAGGAAATTCAAAGTCTTCTAAGAGAAACAAACCTAATATGATTAAAAAAGAAAAAGAATGGAGTGATATCTACCCAAGGCATTTAAGTTTCAACATCAGACAATTCCAACTCAGGGTATTGAAACTTTATAGTCACAACCATGGTTAAGTAATTTCAGAGAATTTTAGACAACAGAATTGCCAAGTATGATCAGAGAATGTCCCGATTTTAAAAGGGGGCAGGGAGGCAAAAACAAATAACAGACACTATAGATTGGTAAATTTAACAATACCTCATAAAAATAAAATGAATAATTAAAAACATGACTTGAGGATATTTGGAAAATAACTACAGAGCATCAACATGGATTCATTAAGCACATTAAATTAACCTCTTCTACCTGGATTAAATTATAGCACTAGAAAGAGAACTAACATAATAGGCATGTTAAAAGCATCATGCGTACAAAGTTGAAATCACTTCCAATAGTTTGTGTATTCTGTGAAGTACACACTTTGTATTGATAAACGACGACTATACAAAATTTATGACCTGTACCACTAACAACTACTATCTACAAATTCTACCTACTGAAAGCAGGTAAAATCTTGTATAGGTCCTATGGAGCAGGTAACCTAAAGAAGGAGAAATGTCCCCACTACTGGTTGCTGACAATCCCCTTTCCTCCCAACCAGAAGAAAGAACCTTTAACACCAAGCCTTCAGTGAGCGTCAGCCATCACCAGGGAATGCATACCCACATCACCAAGTTCCTCATTCCAAGATCCAAAAGAATGGGAGGTTTAAGCAACTAATACCATTTCTATTTTTCTTTTGTCTCTGCATCAAATAATTTCTTATATTAGAAGGAGGTGAATTCAGTACAAAAATATGGATAGAGCACAACCTAAAACAAACTACCAGTAAATCAGTAAAGGAAGCCCAAAGGTTATTTAGCAACATGAGTAACACAAATTGGAATCGTAGACATTATGAGACTCAGGACTAAGACAGACTACAGTTTGATTTCAGATCTTCCACATACTAGCTATGTGGTTTTATATATGAAATTTAACTTCTTTTACATCCAGTTCCCTTGGGTGTAAAATAGGAATCAGAGTTATCTCATGAAGTTAGAAGATCTATATATAGAGAAGCACAGACTCTTAGGGTATATTAAGGGAATCTAGATAATGATGACCTCAGCACTCTAACTGAAATTCAGCAGCTCAGGAAGTTAAGCAAGTCTAACACAATTATAACAATCAGAAGAAAAAAATGAACTTATAGATTAGATTACTTGGTCTTACATGATTGTTGTTCCTTCTGTATTAAAGTATTTTGGGAATCAGCTTTACAATTAAAACATCCAAATATAACCAAGTCAAAATTTGCTGCTCCTAGAATCATTGCTAAAAAACAGTGATAGGCTAAAATATAAAGGTCTTAAGAGTTGGAAACAAAATGGATGCAGTGAAACACACCTGTAATCCCACGAACTTGAGGCTGAGACAGGAGGATCACAAATTCAAGGCTAGTCTCAGCAACTTAGCAAGGTCCTTAGTGAGATACTGTCCCAGAATAAAAAACTTTAAAAAAGGGATGGGGATGTGGCTCAGTGGTAAATTGACTCTGGATTCAATTCCCAGTACCAAAAAAAGAGATAGAACGAGAGATGCAAAAAAGAAAGTGAAGAATTATCAGAAGTTTTATAGCATAGCATTAGCTCTAATACCCAAAACTTAAATAACCACTTAAAACTGAGGGTAAATGTGATAAATCATTTACCCTCAGTTTTAAGTGGTTATTTAAGTTTCAAATTTATAAGCACATTGTTTATAAATTCAGCATGATCAAGACAGGTGAGATTCACATGATTAGCTTCAGGTACGATTCTTTCTTCTGAAGGGACATCTAATGGATTTTGTTTACATGCTCCTGATATTGTAGCATGACACATCAGTTTTATGCTTCCTTCTTCTGCCATTGCAAATATGATCCTAATACAATATTTACAATCTATGTCCTATGAACTGTGGACAGAGCCATCTGTGTTGTGGTATTTTTAAATTCTCAGGCCTATACCTTTTCAGAATCCTTGATTTTATGGAACTAAGTTCTTTTATTTATACCTTCTGTCTCATTGTTTCCAAATATAACTCTCATTGTATTTTTTTTCCTGTATTATTTTCCTTTGGATGAGAATATAGATAAGGATAAGGTCTCATCTCAAATCCTGTTTTTTTTCCTTAATGGTATGATACCAGCATGCCAGATACTGGCAACCTGATGGTTTGTGCTTGTTTTCTACTCAAATCTTGAAGTTCTCTCTTTCTCTTTTTTTCCCCCCCCTTTGGTTCTGAATCCAGAGTCAATTTACCACTAAGCCACATCCCCATCCCTTTTTCCACTCAAACCAGATCATTTATTTAAGTTGCTTACTTTTTCATCCATTTAGGTTTGCTTCAGAACCAGTAATAAAATCCAAGTCGCTTGAACTTAACTTTTAGTATAAGGCAGCAAAAAAATTAAAATTGGCCCTCACTCTATATGAGAGGTAAAACTGGACTACACTTAGATTCCTAATCTCTCATTTTAATTCATAAAGGCAGCTACTTCTTGTAGCTTCTTGTTTAGCAATTCTAATGAAGTAGATAGGTCCACAAGTGTAGAATGAGATCCACAAGTGTAGAATGTCCCATTATTACCTTCCCTAGAAGGTACCTTATTTCATTTAATTCAACATTATGGAGAAAATTGTATGTGCAAGGCACTAGGTAAGGTAAATATCTATTTATCCTAAAGGAGTTTAGGGTTTAATGGAATTAATGAAACATTTAACCCCACAATTGAAGTGTGAAGTGTTCTTAAAGAAGTAAAAGCAAGGCCGTGTGTGGTGGTGCGCACCTATAATCTCAGCGGCTCAGGAAGCTGATGCAGGAGCATCAACAGTTCAAAGCCAGCCTCAGCAAAAGCAAGGCTAAATCAATGGCAGAGGACAACCTCTTCCAGGAAAGGTAAACTAGATAATTCAGATTAAGTCTCTTGATATGAAAAACTGAAAATGCTGAATATCTACTGAAGGCCCAGAGAGCAAACCAGAATCACCAAACCAAGACTGAAGAGAAATTTCAAGAAAGAACAAAGACAGGGATTTCAAGGAAGAACCACTTTTCCCTAAAACATTTACCAACTTCAAAAACAAATGTCAAGGCAAAAATCCCTCTGATAGCCTAATGGAGCTAGAAGGACAAAAGGAGTACAGGGCTGCCCATGGGGAAGAAAGGAGACTTGACAAACAAACCACCTGATTTTTACTAGGATCCCATACTCTAGGAGCATGAATGAAACAGAATGTAAACAGAGCTTAATATCTATTACGGTTTAGATATGGTCATCCTCCTACCTAAAAGTTCATGTGAGACAATGCAAGAATGTTCAGAGATGAAATTAGATTATAAAAGTTGTAACCTAATTAGTGGATTAATCCACTGACATGGATTAACTAGGCAGTAACTGCAGGCAGGTAGGGTGTGGATGGGGAATAAGTCACTGGGGGCCGTGACTTTGGGGTTTATATTTTTTCCCTGGTAAACAGAGCTCTCTCTGCTTATTGGTTCTCGTGCCCTGAGCTGTTTTCCTCTCCCATGCCTTTCTGCCTTTGTGTTCTGCCTTAGGAGGGGTCCAGCTATGCAGTAGGTCATTTGTGGATTGAGACTTCTGAAACCATGCGCCAAAATAAACTTTTCCTCCTCTAAGTTGTTCCTGTCAGGTATTTTGGTCACAGTGACACAAAGCTCATTAAAACAATATCTGAAAATTAGTTAAAGTGACTCTGGACTCCTAATGCTTTTTTCTATGTGTTCCATCCTTAGAATTATCATCCTAGTTCTCAAAGTATTTCTTTGAATAAATTTTCAAAGATAGCATCCGGCACATATTTAAAAAATAATCTAGCACATATATCTGAAGAAGAAACAAACTTTATAAACAACAGAAACAGACCCACAGTGCCCCTTTATGAGTCACATACTTTAACTACTAAGCATTCTATATTGAAGGGGATAAAGAAGAGTCATCCCCTGGCAGAGGATGTTGTAGATGTTAAAAATAATCAAGCAAAAAATATAAACCTAAAATAAGTAAATATGCAGGTAAATCTAAATGAGTACTGATTATATAAAATCCAGAGATTAAATTATAGGAGAGGAAAGACCCAAACCAGACAGAAGGAACACAGAGAGCAATAACCAAAGCAGGAAAATGGAGGATATCCTTCAGGGAATGACAGGGAGTCAGTTTGGGTGGGATTAAGGACTGGGAACAATGTGAGAAAGCCAACAAGAAAGCTAGGCAGTGCCAGACCATTGGAATTTTAACCTTAAGAAAAAGGGGGCATAAAACAGAACTGAGCTTATGAAACATTAAACTGGCACCAGGGTAAGACAGTAACTAATAAGAAGATAAAGGGAAGAAACAAGTAAAATCAGCAAGTACTAGGGATGCTATTCTTAACACCACAGCCTAACCCCTCCATTCCCACCACACTGCCTTACTTTAGGTACTTATTCTAGTTCCTCTCTAGTATCCTCTAAATGGTATTTTTGTCTGGTATTACAGAATTATCTCTAATAAAACAAAAATGATCTTGTCATATCCTCTCAAAAAGAAAAAAAAAGTCAATGTACCCCTCAATCTAAAATAAAAATTCAAACACCTTGGAATAGTTTCAAACACTCCAAAATCTGGACGCTACCCCACCTCTCTAGCTTCAATGCCCCCTACCTTCATCCTGTCTCCAATAACCAACTACGTTTCTATACCTTGCATGTGCTTCTCTTTTTCAGGGAAATGGGCTTTCCAATCCTCTTCACTAACACAGTATCTCCTTTATAATTTAAGACCTTCCTTTTAAATATAAATGTGCATTTTCAAGTTTCCTAAAGGAATTCAGTATTTCCTAATACTGAATCAGTGCTACAA